TGAAGGAGATGTGGTGAGAATTTCACTAAGAAATTCTCAAAAAGAAAAAAAAAAGGATTAAAAAACAAGGCGGAAAAAAGGGGGGGGGGTCAAGAATGTGATGACCAAAGAGCCAAGTGATGCTTGTAGGGACAGCGCAGCTTCCTTGCTTCTTCTGGATCACACTGAGCACCAGGGATATTGGTTTCTTGAGTTTCATAACACCATCTAGACTCTACGTGTTTACTGGTTTGTATTATAACCTAAGAGTTAATATCCTGAGAATTGCTTACTAGAATGAAATTGAAACTTTCTTAAAGCATTTGCTTTGAAATTGATAATATTTATACCAATAAAACCTAGGTATAATTCAGATAAATTATTAATTATAATTCATAATAATATGAAGAGATTATAATTCAATGAGGTAAAGACAACATCCTCTAAACACACTATGGCTAACTAATTATGCTATGTTACATACTGACTATATAGTGCCTTGTGAATTTCTTATGTGCTAACGGTGTACAAAGTACTTGAAATAGTATTAGTTTCATTAAAAAGTATTTTTCAAGTGAATGCTCTGCATGCATAGCATGTATAATTATTAATGTAGATGTTATTTATCAGTAGGCTGTTTAAGAGATAAACTCTGATCTCTTCAGCATGACATTCATAATTCAAACCCTTAAAAAAACTATGAAGTCAAGAATAAGAAGGACATAGTGAAATGAATAAAATCAACAAATTACAAATCAAGGAACCAATTGATATTGTGATTTCAGAAGTTTTAGAGCTGTTAAAGTCAGAATCCTTTTATGTTCATGCTATTCTCATTCTCTTGTTTGGGAATTTGCCCCTTTTAAAATATTGATTTATATTTGAATGAAGCTTGTCTAAGACAGACACAATTCTTAATGTTAGGTGGGAAGCAGGGGAGGGAGGGTCTGGGAGGAGTTGGCTGGTGGGGTTTGGGTTATGAATATGATCAAAATTATTATATGAAATTTTCAAAGAATTGACAATTCTTTAAAAAAGAAACAGTTATAAATAGACAGCATAGGAATATATATGTGCATATATATATATATATCCGAAGAACTCAGCCTATTTTAATTTAGTCATTTGCCTGCCATAATCTAGAATATACCTACACACTGAGGAATAAATTATGAAAACATTCTATTCTTTTTGATTCAACTTATATATGAGCTGAAAGATGAATGAAGATTTATCTGGTTTTCACAGCTTTTCCCCCTGTAAGCCAAGCTCATGCTTTGTGGCTGGCCACTCTGAGTGCCGAAACTTGGAGGCCAGGAAATCACCATGCTTCCCATTCACTGCGGCTTCTACTCAGATCACAGAGCGCTGAAAAGTGAGCCCTGTGCTCTTACCAAGCTTCCCTGGAGAGAGCTTCAAGACTCTTTCCCCATTTTCCTGAGTCACATGCTTGAGCTGTTCTCACCAATGGGGGCTCTGATGAGCTGACACCTGTATGCTCAAAGAGAAGAACTTTCCATTGCTCTTGCTCTTATCACACGCTTCCTACCATAATAGGAAGGCTGGAAAGAGCAGGCCATCCATGGCAGCTGAGGTTGTGAAACAGGAAGAGTATATCTAAAGGCACTGCCAACCCCTTTCTGCGGCTTCCTTCTCCGGTCAAAGAGACCGCACTGGGTGCAGTAGGCTCCTCTCCTATTGGAGCCTACCAAAGCTCTACCTTCATCCCTCGGAGGGTACCAGGTATGATAACTATTAGTAATAATCCTGATGACGGGTGCCACTGCCTCTTTTCCTCCTTGTTCCGTCCCTCGAAGAAGAGTCCTCATTGGTAACAGACACTATTCTCTCTCCAGGCCCTTCCTCATTGCCCACCATGGCTCTAGTCTCCTACGCAATTTCCACAATGATAGCATAGTGTATTCTAGACCTGATTAGCAGCCAGGCAGGTTTATGCAAATCATATTTTCCATTATCCTTTGTACCTGTCAAATTTTAGTACATTATCAATTACAAAATATAAATAACCAAGTATGCATCTATACATATTAAGTGTAAATGGATACCTCCATCTCTCCCTAAGTAGTATTATATGCCTAGGATTTCCTCAGCAAACAGGGCTTATGGTATGCTAGAGTCCTGGTTACCTACTTTACATAATTTAATTTATTATATACTTTAATGTACTTTATATATAGTTTTTAAACTTTAATTTTATAAATTTAAGTGCTGCAGAAATCTTAAAATAAAAATCTTGCCCTGTGTTCATTTTACAAATGGATAGTTCAAAATTCAGAAAATTAAAAAACTGTCCACAGTCACACAAGTCCCATGCAATGCGTGTTGGAACAAAGATTCAAACACACACAACACCCATCTTGTCTATTTTGCTTCCCTTCAATCCAAGGTCAGTTAAAGCCTTTGGAAGATGAAAAGCTAGCTTTTTCCAACATAAAAAAATTGAGATTGAGGGAGGAATACCCATGGTTTATAAAATCAAATTGTCCACATGGAGACTGTGAAAAAGTTCTTCCCAGCTCCAATTATCAAAGTTAAAGTGCCTTTGAGTACAAAATAAAGTTTTTTGAAGACACAAACTCTGTGGGTTTCTTTTTCCTGCTAAAGGTTAGGTTACAAAATTTCAGGAGGTTGGGCCAGTCAAAACTGTAAGCGCAAAGAAGGGCTTCTGTGAATTCATTGATTAAATGACTAAGTACTTCTTTGTAAGGGTCGGATGAACATGAAGCCCCCACTTTCTTTCTTAAAAATATAGTGTCAAGCCAGGCGGGGGTGGCACACGCCTTTAATCCCACCATTTGGGAGGCACAGGCAGGTGGATCTCTGTGAGTTCGAGGCCAGATTGGTCTGCAAGATCTAGTTCCAGAACAGGTTCCAAAGGTACAGAGAAACCTTGTCTTGAAAAACCATATATATAGTCAAGGTCATCTGTTTAAATTAGGTAAGAGCTGCACTTGAACTTAATGACTATGACATTGAGACTCTAAACACAGAGTTAACTGCTAGTATAGTCTCTGTATTTAAGATGCAGAATCCCAAATTATTGGTATTGGTTCTGTTGGGAAAAATTATTTTTGAGGCCTTTTTATAGAGATCAGGTTGGCCTCAAAGTCACAGAGATTCACCTGTCTCCTTCCGAGTGCTGGGATTAAAGGCGTGTGCCATCAGGCCTGGAAAACTTTAATAAGAAGGCCTTTCTTCTCTGTATTTTATGTTTGCAAAGGAGTTAGAAGTCAAGTTTCTACTTTTTTTTTCTCCCCAACGGAGTCTTAAAGACTCAAATTTCTTTGCTTATCACAGAACTGGAACTGAGTTTTGATTCAGCTTTGCTCTAACCGTTTGCAAGGCCTGTATGAAACATGCAACCTTCCTGGTTTTAGCTTAACCTCTTGTCAGATCAGAGATACTAGTTCCGAAATCTTGCAGTTACTGCATAGCTGGTATTTTTTGCTAGAGATGCCAGGATTTAAGCCACTTCCTCTCAAACAGCTGTTTGGATCCCTAAAATTAACTCTTTCTCAGGGAGAGATGAGCCAATGGTGATGTGATTCGTTACACAGGATCTACTCAACTAGTTCTGAGCTGTCAGAGTCAACAAATAAAGTACAAATGTGCAGTTAGGATTTCAGGTAAACCAGGGAAAATATGTATATGTACATACATATACATGTATACATACATACATATATATATATATCATACATACAAGTGTGTACTTCAGGCACACTTACATTAAAAGCTGTTTTGTATTTGTACTTTATAAGGAAATTCATGTTTAATAGGATACCCCGTATTTTATCCGGCAGTTCCACTCCGGGTTTGGGTCCAGATGGAGCCATGAGCCCTGAAGGCTGTTCTGAAACCCACAACACAGATGTCTTCATGTTACTTTTCTGTAAAACGGCTCAGAGGTTTTTTTGTTTGTTTGTTTTTTGTTTTCCATAAAATTCCTGAAAAATTCTGTAAGCCAAAACACGCCTAGAACCACTGGGCTGATGTTGCCAAGAAACGGAAACATAACTGTGACCTCACCTGTAAGTGGGCGAGTTGATACAAAAGTATTGACTTTAAATAAAAATTGTTCCTATTCTCAAGCCGATTTCTGGAGAAAGTTGCTTGAAGAGAGAGGTCCCTTCGCCTGTGAGAGTATTCGTCTCACCACACTGCGAGCACACGTGTGCTGAAGTCACTGTTACTGTCCCGCACCAGGAGTGGGATCAAACCGGACTCCTGGCTACGGGTGAGAGTCAGCTGTACCTGCCCCCTGTCCCTGCTGCATTCCAATGGCTGCATCTGTTGGGGCTCATCAGCTCTGCCTCCCAGAATAGAAACGGGCTTGGCGCATGCTGTCCATTTTTAGTGAAGCCCTTCTGAACGGGGATTCCACTTTGCCATTCCATCACCGAAACGATTTGTAAAAGTGAAACATAGACCATAATAACCATAAATGCACGTTTAGAACAAAACTCTACGTTTATTTTTGGTCAGTTAACAAATATAGGGTATTTACAGGGGCTGGGGATTCGATTTTGTCAAAAAGTTATATTTGGGAGAGTCAAAGAGCTCCTTTGAGTTCTGCAGTACTAATTCAGTTAAAACTGATAAAATTGTGTCTCTCCTGAACTGTTGTATTAACTAAACCACGTGTCAAAGTGGTTGCTAATAACATTAAAGATGGAATTCTAAATCTCCTGAACAAACTCTAAGAATTTTCTCTGTAAAATAGTGGGAGAAAAACTTATAAGATTTAGAGACTTAAAACTACTATAGCAAAACACATGTAATTTTACTTTTATAGGGTATCACTCAAACATATCGGTTACTGTGTCCGTTTCCTTGGTTACAGCATTTCTCAAATTCCAGGATAAAGTTTTCTGCCTCCCAACTTGAGATCAAGGGACACGACCTGTGTCACCCGGCTGGAGATCCCCGCAGGAAAGTAGCTCTATTGCCACCAACACTCGGACACCCCCACCGTCTCCCACCCACACAGCCATACACACCCTAGGATCCGGAAGGCACGAGTTGGCAGTGCGGTCCCAGCTTCTCTCTCCCTCTCCCGTATGAAGTGAGAGCCCCGCTGGTAGTGATGAAGGTTTAATAGCAGCCTCTCTTGGGGAGGAGGAGATCTGTAGAGAGAAAGGGAGGGCGGGAGAAGGAAAACCCAGTGAGGAGTCACCAGCAGACGCCCGCCCGCCCGACAAACCCTAGTGGCAGTAATTTTTAGAATAGCCCTTTGCCATCCCACTGGAGGAAAAGGGTTGAGCCTGCGCGCTCGCCAGGAGCAGGCTGAGCCCTCCTCTCCCTCTTTGGTCTTCAGCTTGTGGGCAATTCAGGGGAAGAGTGCGTGCTCTGGTTGGTGGAGAGGGATTGGGTTTCTTGACCTGGCCAGGTTGTTCACTTGTTTTTAAGTCAAGGACTCAACGGATGTGAGGAAAGAAAATTAGCTGAATGGGTGTTCAGTTGCAATTCACGGAAGCAGGGACTTGAGTTGTAAAAAGGGAGATAGTGGCAAAAATTAGCTTCTGGGAAGGTAAATTGCTGTCACCTCAGGTCCTATGAGGCGACTGTGTATAAATAGATTCTCTGTGGAGGAGGAGACATGTTTACCAGGACGGGAGATGTTCGGCAGCGCTTCAGTATGGGACTGACGTTTCATAGTTTAATCGAGCCAGCAGCCATTGATCCCCAGGAGCGTCTGTAATAATCACACTGGCACAGGAGTATGTTGGGAAATATCTTCTTCGGCAACATTTCATACAAGGAAGGCAATTCAAGTGATTGTAATTGACAATCACTTTTAATAGGCTCCTAGGGTACGGAATGACTGCTCTAAAGGTCAGTATGGTGTCAGCTTCAGTCATGGGCAAATAGCAACGTCCGAATTGTCCTTTATCAGTTAGATGTCATCCTGGCCTACTGAGAAGCCAGTCTGCATCTTTAATTGCTAGAAGAATGAAAACATCAGCAACCAGAAATACTGGGTACCAATGAAAAAAATCATAATGAAGGGAGAAATTAGAGGTGAGCTGGAATTGAAATTCGTTTAGCCGAATATGCTACAAATAGGCCTAAATGAGTTAACACCAGGAAAAATAATGAAAAATCATGAAGGAAAACTGCAAAGAACTGGGTTCTAATGATAAAACTGCAGCTTGATCAAGACCCGATTCTCTGTAAACGGAAGGATGGAAGTCGAGGAATTGATAGACAGGTGTGATGTAGAAGCGACGTAAAAAGGACTTTCTTCTATTCACCCTTCCTCCCTTCCTTCGGTTTTCCCTCTCTCCTCTTTCCCTTCTTCTCCTCCCCCGCTTTCTTTCTTTGAGACCCAATCCTACTATGTAACTCAAAGCTAGCATGGAACTCTCTCTGTGGCCCAGGCTGTCCTTGAACTTGTTAGCTTCCTTCCTCATCCTTTTGAGGGCTGGAATTATAGGCTCAGATCACCATGCCTTGTTTGATCTTAGATGTTTGGCTTCCACTCATGGATCTTTCGCACAGAATCTGGGAGAAGCAAACCAGGGCAGTTTATTTAATGGCCTACATTGAAATCTTTCTATATTTGGTTTTGAGATGGGGTCTTGCCACGCTGCCTGGGCTCAAGAGATCCATCTCCAGAGTACTTTGGAGTACAGGTGTGGACCAGTGAGCACCCCACCACCACCGGCCTTGATGCAGGTAAAGGGTCAGAGCATTCAATCCTGTTTTCACCATACTGTAAAATCGCTGCTGGGCTCAACCTCTGGGACCTACACAAAGCTGGACGTCATGGCTCACATCTGCAACTTCCACATTCCTATGGCAAAGTGGGACACAGGGACAGGGACCCATCCAGAAACTTACAGATCAGCTTGCAGTGGCAGCAGAGGCATGGGACTTTGTGTGTTGGTGTGTGTGCGAGATTCTAGCTGCATGCTCTCAGGAGGAGGTGGCACAAAACAGAGTCAATAAGCAGAGTTCTTTCACTCAGGCTGTGGGGAATCTAACTGAAGAGACGGAGGCCATGATGGAAGACACTTTGGAAACTGTTCCTGTGGAGAAGAAAAGGATCAGTTCCACAGGCTCTTTGTTAGTGGCTCGCACATTGAAACCACAGAAGAAGGTCTGAGAAACAACCACACACAATGGGAAAAGCACACAGACTGTGTGGTGATGAAGGACCCTGAGAACAAAAGATCAAGAGGGTTTGGTTTTGGAAATGCCCTCATCCAAGGCTGAGCTGATGCTGACTTGACTGCAAGGCCTCTTTCAGCTGATGGAAGAGCCGCTGAGCCAGAACAACACCAGAGAGGGATCTTGAAAACTCAGCACCCACATGGCTGTGAAGGTTAGAGAAGGTCTGTGGGGTTAGAGAAGATGCTAAGAACATCACTAGAGTTTTCTTTTTAAAATGTGGAAAAACAAATACTATTTAAACAACAATATTTTAAAAGTTACTGATAGGCAGTCAGGGAAGAAAAAGGCTTTGACTTTGTTATTCTTGATGACTATAACCCTGTGAAAAAGAATCCCACAATTATGGCACCATCCATGGTCACAGTGCAGAAGTTAGAATGGCAAGGAATGCAGAAGTCCAAAGAGCCAGGAGTGAACGAGGAGAGAACTCAGGTTTGGGGGGGGGGGGAATCTCATCGTGGTGGTGGAAATTTTGGTCCAGGACCAGGGAACAACTTTCCTGGGGAAGGGGTGATGGATATGGAAGTGGACACGGATTTGGCTTGGCTACCATGGGTATGGTGGAGAGCCTGGGGGTGGCCACTTTGGAGGTAGCACTGATTATGGAGGAGAAAGAGGAGAACAGGGGGGTGGAAGCCTGGATACGGCAAACAGGAGTGGGCCGATGGAGGTGATCATGACAACTGCAGAGGAGGAGAGGCCACGAGTGGGAAGGAGAACGGCTTTGGAAAGTGTAGTCAGCAGTCTTCTCTATAGCACAAGGAAGAGCAGAAACTCGGTGGTGGCGGGAATGTGGAGGAGCAATATCGTGCAGGAAGCTCTGGTCCTTGGGGCGGAGAAGGAAGTGGGGGTGATGGTGGGAGGAGCCAAAGCCAGTTTCCTCCTACTTGCCATGGGTTTCAGGATAGAAAAGGGAGAGGATGAGAACCCACAGGAACTGAACAGCTTCAGGTTATCAAAAGAATAGTGTCAGAAGGACTCTTATCTCAGTCATGCACAACCTAAATGCCCCTCAACCAAAGAATGGATAAAGAAGATGTGGTACATTTACACAATGGAGTACTATACAGCAGGAAAAAAATGACATCTTGAAATTTGTGGACAAATGTGTGAATCTAGAAAACATAGTAAGCAAGGTGACCCAGATCCAGAAAGACAAATATCAAATGTACTCACTCATAAGTGGCTTTTAGACATAAAGCAAAGAAAAACCAGCCTATAGTTCCCAATCCCAGAGAACCTAGATAACAAAGAAGACCCTAAGAGAGACATTCATGGATCTAATCTATATGGGAAGTAGAAAAAGGCAAGATCTCCTGAGTAAATTGGGAACATGGGGCTCATGGGAGAGGGTAAAAGGGGAGGGGGAGGGAGGAGGAAGGGTTGGAAGTGGAGAAAAACAATTCAAAAAATGTTAAGAAAAAAAGAACAAGTAGAACATTTCCTTATAATATCCTTGGCTTGTTGACTTCTAAAGAAAAAGTCATTTTTTTTCAAATTTTTACTGTTGCTGTGATGTTTTTATGAAATTATGAGGCCTTCAGCATATTTCCAATCAATAATTGATCCATTTCTGCATTACCTTGTGCTAGAAGACCTGGCTGACCCATATGGGATTAGATACGTGTTATGTATATGAGACGATTCCTATTCCTAACTGTATCTTGTAACTGAATAAATGGTAAAGTCAAAAATTTAAGTGTGCGTGGAGTTAAACTATTAAACATTTATGATTTAATAAAGATAATTCTAAAGAAAAAAAAGAAGTATTTATAGTTGAAAGCACAGTTGAATTATAGTTAATAGCCTTGGAGCACATCTGGCTACTGCAGACCACAAACCTGGCTATGCAGTTGCCTATTTACTTACACCACCAGCAGTAATTAATTGTCAGTGCTATTTCTCACAGTAACACATGCAGGAATTACCTGAGAACACTGTAGAACTGATTTTATAAGGTGGGTCTGGAGAAGGGCAGTTGAGAGCCTGTCTTTAATCAGTTTCATGGGTAATGCTGATATTGACAGTCCAAGGGTCATATTTTGCCAGCAGCAAGGCTTATAGCACTTAGCTACTCGGCAGTGTCTTTACTGAAAAGGAAGTGGAAATCTGGTGTGGTGGCTTCCATCTGTTAACCTCAGCTAATAAGGAGGCTGAGGTAAGAAGATCAGCTGAGCACAGAGTTTGAGAATATTTTGGGAGACAGCCAAAATCTTGATTTGTGTGTGTGTGTGTGTGTATGTGTGTGTGTGTGTGTGTGTGTGTGTGTGTGTGAGAGAGAGAGAGAGAGAGAGAGAGAGAGAGAGAGAGAGAGAGAGAGAGAGAATGAATCTCAAAAACCCAGTTGTGCTTTCTATCTGAAATGTCCCCCACAGGCTCATGTTCTGAGTATCTGCTTCCCATGTGGAGACACTGTTTTGGGAGGTTCTGAAAACGTTCGAAGGTTGGACCCAGCTGGGGCAGGCCATTTGTTTCTGGCCTCTGCCCGCTCACTCAGCTTCTTGTCTAACATGCTCTTCTGCGCATGCTCCCATTGCCTCCATGTTCTGTTCGAGTGCATGGGGCCCAGTGTCCACAGAATGAACACAGAAACCATTCGCTGGAAAGCAAAAAAAAAACCAAAAACCCTCTCTCCCCCTTGTTGTTTCTATAAGGTATCCTGTGGCTGTTTGCTTTCTACTCTGAAGTATCCTCCATGGCACAACAGTGCCAGTAAAAGCCACTGCACAGTTCTCTTGGTGGGTGTCTGGAGTAGCAATTAGCGACAAGTCACCCAGCGTGACACAGAGCTGGCAAGATGGGACAGTCATGGCCAGGCTTGGGCTGGAGCACAGCCAAGCAGTAACTTGGAACCAGGGTGACAGACACAAACCTAAGGACATAGGCAACAACCCGAGATTCTGGGGAAGATCTTCCCAAGGCTGGGGACTTAGAAAGGTCAAGTCAGTTTTGTTTGAGTATCAAGAGTTGGAGAACTAAGCTTACATGTGCACTAGACAAGTACCAATCCATCTTTTTTCC